ATAATATATTTTTTTCTTATAAGAAAATGCATCTAGTTAATATATAGCCGAGTAATTAAGGAATCACCCTACTATTTATCAACAATATCAACAATACTATTATCAACACAGACATGCGTATTTTTTATTACCACAGTCCATATTACAACTATCAGCAAAGATATTTGATATTACTTCTTTGCGACACTCACAAATTAATTCTACTTTCGGTTAAAAAACTACACGAAAAGTCCATTTTTACAAATTTTATACAATAACTTGTTTATTTATAGAGATACGACCTCGGACCCAAAACCATTATTGTTGTCCACATTTTTAGAATTCCAACGACGTTTTAACCGATGTTCTATCTTTTACCGTTTTCGAACTATCAGCGTTTTAACGCATAGCGCAAACCGCCATGTTTGCCCCCTCCCCCACACCTTATCGACCACTTTTGAAATAGGCGACATACGTAATTTTGATCACCACAGTCCATATTACAATAATCAGCAATAACATTGCGTACTGTACTACTTTCATGCATGCTCAAACCCCCTCAGCTCCTGGACTATACCGGTGTTTGTGTTTCGTGTTTGTGGATAGAGTTCTCGGCTGAAGTGCAAGAGGTATCAGCAAGAGGTATTACAGATCAAATCCCATCGGAGACACAAGACTTTTTGTCAAAGATTTTGCTTAGAATGTCATTTTTTCTTGACTGTATAGTTTCAGTGTGCTAAAGTCTTCATCAGTGGTAGCCATATTGGATTTTAGTCCCATAAGAGCAATGTTAAATTTGTCAGAACATACAATCATTTTTTTAACTCCTCTCTCTCTAGCCACTGATAGTACTGATACTCGCAGAAAGTTATAATAGCTTGTACATTGACTACCTCTCTTGGCCTATCACGACTGAAAATCCACAGGAAATATATGTAGAAAAACTATTTGAAAAGCCCATGTAACTTTTACCTAAGTAAGTGTGTGATTTTTTAGTTTCAAGATGAGTGTTTTACCGTATACTTTCTTATTTATGATCTGTCTAGAGGTCGTCCAGTGATAAAAACTCGATGAAATATTTTGTGTGATGTACATACTTCTTTTCTATTTCGCCCCAAACTGTAAATAAGACACGTGATTGGGATTTCTTCCCATTTGTTTTTATTTTCTGTTTACATTTTGCTGTTATTTTTTTACCAGCATGGCAACTCATAAGGCCCATGTTAATTGGTTTAAATTTAAAATTCATTTTTGTGCTTATTTTTGAGCCTATTTTAATTTATAAAGGGATTCTGCACATATCCAGGAAAATCTCTTTCCAACAGTATGTATCTAGATTTTCCCTGCGATGCACACGAGCTAAGAAAAAAGGTTTTATAGAAACGTGCTTGCCTATAGATTTAGCTATGTCGTAATAACTTTTTCACCACACTATGATGTTTTTAGCTGTTTTACATACGTTAATTGGTGGCTGAAGCTGAAAGTTACGTTTTGCTGGCCATGCCAGCTGTCATTATCGATGTATAATAACTCCCTATGTATAATAATGTATATGTAGAGTATTATATATCGATGGCTGTCATCATCATTTGGGGACCGAGCAGGTTTTTACATCCCTAGGGCCACAAAATCAATTGTCCGCTTACTTTCATAAAACATGAATGCATATTAAATACACAGTCAATATCACCGTTGCCTAGCAACTATTTATTATTATTTTTGCTGATTCCTCAAATTATTTCTTCACATAGTTGTGTTGACTGTTAGGGTACATTCTATTTGTGGTGAATAGTGGTATTAGGGTGTAATAGTGTGGTGAAAAATAGCGTTCGTACCACGGACCAAAATGGTTTTGGATCTCTCTATCGTTTTAAGTTCTCGACTTCGTCTCGGGCTTAAAAACTATCTCGAGCCGGCAAAACCTATTTTCGGCCCTAATTTTTAAGTTTGTGAACCACACCCAACAAAATATGACGACAATTTTGTTGGACAGAAGTGGTAATGCAATATGACTGTATTCCTAAAACTTAATCTAGGGGAAAGAGCCAACAAAACGTCTTCATGACTCAAGTCCTAAAACCCTCCCTCCCTTTATCAATTGGGGTGAGATTGGTCAATCTATCATGCTCTTCAACATCTTGATATGTCAAACAATGTCATGGTAATCTATAACATGAGTACACTATTTGTACCTAAAAGAACTTTATGAAGAACTTGTGTTTCTTAAAAATAAAATCTATCTTAATGACACAAACATTCTGTGTATATATATATAAAAAAATTGCTATTACATACACAACTACAAATTTAGTTTATTAGATTTAAATATTGATTTTTGGAGATTTTCTTAGTTCAATTGTATCTCATGGGTAGCTCACTCATTCTGTATCACTGAAGGAGGCGCTTTACATTGAGTGTTTGGTATTTTGCAAGCATCGTAAAACTCAACTTTATCTTCAGGCTCACATTTGAAATCAGCTGTTCTTGTGTCTGCATGTCGTAGGATGTCAGAATAGTTTGGTTTTTTTATCGCTTTAGTCTCAGCGTCTTCCACCCCTTCACAAGACTGTTCAATTACAGGTTTTTCAGGGATCCTAAAAGATTCGAGTGTTTCTGCTTTCCTCCGTAGCACTCCGTCTAGCAGCAGAGGAGGATTCATCATTTCTCTACTGGGTTTGAACTCTGTGTGAAAGAGGGGATCTTTAGGGGTCCAAATTTTGGGGCAGCTGCAAGGAGTTAAGTAGGCAATTATTTAAAATTTACAATTCTCTTTGACAAGGGAAACTATTGCTAGTATTATAACATTTTACTGTTACAATGGTAAACCCTGGGTTGGTAAGGTAAACTAAATTTCATCATGACAATAATTGTCGAGATTTGATAAATATTGAAAATGATATAAGCAGCTACTTAAGGAAATTGCTTATTATTATATATTATTTTATGTTCTCTTATTAAGGGTAGATTATACACTTTCTGATGCACTATTTTTTGTTATGTAAAAAGTACAAGTAATTTAAGTAGTACATTCCAATACTATCTTCTTAAAAATAAACTGTTAGAAAACCAACAACTGAGAATTATTTTTGGTTGATAAATAATGATAATAGAAAGAGTATTATTGCAGAATTAGAAGGCTTTTCTGTTCAACTTAAATTAACATTTCTTACGTTTAAATTTTCATCCTGCCACTCATGGATCAGTAAACATATAAACAAACACATCCAGAATTCCTGTCACAGTACTGGTCAGCCCTAGATGATATGAAATAGCTACAAAATAATTTCTACGTGTCACGGTAGATGTCAAACTAAATTGGCAACAGTCTTGAGGAACTTAGTTTTGAGTAAGCTAATAGTTTCTTAAAATTAACATTTTTTATTCATAACACAGCTTCAAGAATAGTTTTTTCCTACAGTTACCTAACAATGTACATGTTCTCTCACTGATTTGAGAAAGCAAAGTGGCCAATTCGCTCATCAGTGAGACAATGTTAACATTGTCTCACTCTAATTACTTTGTCTCACTCCAGATTTGCAACGTGAAGGCACGAAATAGTGAGCGCGTAACATGCAGGCAACGTCGTCTGCGTGCGAAATACGTTGGCAGCACAGGCTGTAAATCAGCTGGTCAGCTGTTGTACTGTTGTATTTGTCACTTGTCACTTCACATTAAATGTTATATTAAAAGTTCACTTCTGTGTAAAAATAGGTTATGTTTCTTCACAAATTTATTTGTTTTATGGTAACTGTAGGAAAAGTATAATGTGCAACTCGAGTTCAAAGTACAATTGCCTCACTCGAGAAACCATTCCTCACTCACCTACGGTTCGTGAGTAAGGATTTCTCTCGAGTGAGTCAATTGCTCACTTTTCTCACTAGTTGCACAAATAACTATTATCCACTTTCCAATGCCAACTGATTGACTTTAACATACTTAGCTGTCTTGGATAAGTCTTCAACTGGTCTTTTAGGTGTTTCATTCCTGTATATTTCACCAGGCAGGTATCGTTCTGGTCTTTCAATTTCCATTTCCTCCAGCAACGTCTTTTCAGACAATGGTTGAGAGAGAGTTCCAAACCTATAGTCATCTGGGTCCCCTACTGGATAGCCAAACAGGGGACTGTGAGGGTCCCCTGAGAACCAAAAGGGGGGCTGTGGATTCCAATTGACTGCTGGGACTGAACTATAGAGACATAAGACGTTTATAAGCTTTGAGACTTATTTAGTTTTATGACACAGTAAGGATAAAGAAGAAATGGACAAAAAAGTTCACAGCATTTAACTTTATATTCAATTTCGTTTTTTAATTGCCATTTTTCTTCTGAAGAAGCCCCCTGGAGGATCAAAATATTGTGTATCTATTCATGTTTCCTAATATCTAGATATCTCCACAGTATCTTATCAGATAATGTGGCACAGATAGTAGAACCTGTTGTTTTTTCTCTCCTTGGGATAAATATGCTGTCTATGTGTCTCAAAAGTCCCATCCCCCACCCTTTTTGGTAAATGTAAATTTGTCCCCCAAAGGGGTAGTTTGGGGTAAGTCAAAATTTTCAAATGTGAACTCCTATCAAGTTATACATAGTTGTAAAGGTCATACATAATAAAAAAAGATGATAAGAATAGTCAATGGTAAAATTAAGGTATTCATAAAACATTGAAGAAAACACTTACAAAAAAGGGTTGGGATATGGAGTCTCAGTAGGCCTACATATTCCTTGATAAAATGGAGACTTTGGAGGAGGTCCAAAGAAATTTGATTCCATCCTTTAAATAATGATAGCCACACAAATATTTGGAATAATTTACAATCAGAGGGTAATGAATAAAGAAATAAATTTTGAACTTTCAGCAAGTAACTATGGTTTTATAAAGTTGGCATTACTGAAATAATTCTTGCTATCAAAAACTTCTTAAATCCAATACGCTTTAAGAAAACTGTAAATTTATCCTTATCCTGTTAGGAAATATACTATTCATTTTTTCTATTAATGTCTACAACAAAAATATACAAACATTTTGTATAAAATATTTATTTTCTCAAACAACATTGATCTATCTTGACTCTAGTCCATCCCAGGAGGTGCTGGTTCGACCTCTTCTGGAGGTTCTTCTTTAATATCTATGGTCAAGTCCGGGGGAGAGCTCTGAAATGAAACAATTCATGATAAATAAACGTTAAATTTCATTTATTGAGTGACAGTGACTTTCTAAAAGTTTAGAATTGAAATATTTAATTTAATTCATTATGAATTTAGCAATTTCAGTTTCACAAGTATGTAAAACTTCTTTCTCAAAATAAAGCTTCTTCTCTTCAAATTCCTATGCAATCCCTTGCATAATAAGAAGTCCCTCGATAACAAGAGTAATTTTCCAATACCATTGATTTCAAACCCTTAATTACATGTTATTGCAAACCTTGATAAGAAGTCAATCTTGATAAAAATCTTATTTGATCATCCCAATGAATTCATATATATCTGATTTTTCCGTTACAGCATTCAGCATAAAATAATCATTGATCAACCTTGCTTTGCATTCTAATTTTACACTACACGGCACAGTTTATTTTACACTAATAAACTGTTTGAACATTGTGGTAGGAGTTCAATAACAAATTTGTACCTCTATTTTTATTTTTACTTGACAGAAGTAATGTCCAATCAGTGACAATTCTGTTGACTGTTTGACTAGTATACTATAAACATTATAGTGAATTTGCTGAGCTACAAACTTAAAAGCAGTCACCAAATGTCATCAAAACCTTGAAATAGGCCTACTCAATACGTTCTACTGTCATAACACGACAGGAACGGGCTAAACTTAAAAAATCATACTGTTGTAAAAAATCTGAACAAAACTCACAGGCTCTTGCTTGATGTTGAACTGCTCAAACTGAGCTGGCATCCCTCCCATCAGAATGTCCATCACTGGTTGAGGGATGTAGGCTCTCTGGAACATTATACACTTCAGGTCAATCACAGAGTAGAATTACAAGTCACCAACAGTTACATGAGTGTAGGTGTATCTGACCCTTGGCGATCAGAAAGACTATTTACTTCCAAGCGTTTGAGTGTGTCGACACAAGGCAATGACCACAAATCTCAGGTTTAAACACAGAATGTTTGTTATGATGATTGCTAAATGCCGATATTTACAACCAAAATAATTCTCAGATGATCTGGTGGGAATAAACTGCATGGTTGGCTATAGGAGTGGCCAGTGGTACTAGCTTTGTGAGTGGTTTTGCATGTATGATTGGCAAATTGGACGAAAACTCTTTTGGTTTTTCTTAGGACTCCTCTTATAGAACGAGAAATACCCAAGAAATCTTGAATGAATTGGGAAATTTATCCAGGGTGTCTAGTTTATTTCCATTATAAAATTCAAGACTAATTCCAGACTTTTCAAGACTAATTCCAGATTTTTCAAGACTAGTTTTTTCAACAATTAGTGTGTGTTGATACCAAAATGTATCGATTCTCGATTCTTGATACTGATACCAATTTTTATAGCTTAACCAAATTTTCTGAATAATACTACACCAACCCCTGTCTTTGTCATAAAGTAGTATTATGATAATGTGGTGTTTTCAAGTAAAGAAATAATGCAGCAATAAAAAATTCTAACTAGCAAATTTGTTTTTTTTTCATGAAATCTTCCATGTACCGTACGTTTAGACATTATCATTGACTGCAGCGGTTACAGCAACGTGATCGTCGTCGTCCGCGATCACGGCAAAATCATGAACATTTCCCGCGGCCTTGTAGACATCAATGACATCATCGTCGTCTCCCGCTGTCTCAGAAACGTCATCGTCATCGTCCGCGATCGCGGAAAAATCATGAACATTTCCCGCGGCCGTGTAGACATCATCGTCGTCTCCCGCGGTCACGGAAACGTCATCGTCATCTCCCGCGGTCACGGAAACGTCATCGTCATCTCCCGCGGTCACGGAAACGTCATCGTCGTCGTCCGCGATCGCGACAAACTCATGAACGTTTCCCGCGGCCGAGCAGATATCATCGTCGTCTCCCGCGGTCACGGAAACATCATCGTCATCTCCCGCGGTCACGGAAACGTCATCGTCGTCGTCCACGATCGCGGCAAAATCATGAACATTTCCCGCGGCCGTGTAGACATCATCGTCGTCTCCCGCGGTCACGGAAACGTCATCGTTATCTCCCGCGGTCACGGAAACGTCATCGTCGTCGTCCGCGATCGTGACAAAATCATGAACATTTCCCGCGGCTGTTTAGACATCACCGTCATCTCCAGCGGTCACGGAAATGTTATCGTCATCGTCCGCGATCACGGCAAAATCATGAACATTTCCCGCGGCCGAGCAGATATCATCGTCGTCTCCCGCGGTCACGGAAACGTCATCGTCGTCGTCCACGATCGCGGCAAAATCATGAACATTTCCCGCGGCCGTGTAGACATCATCGTCGTCTCCCGCGGTCACGGAAACGTCATCGTTATCTCCCGCGGTCACGGAAACGTCATCGTCGTCGTCCGCGATCGTGACAAAATCATGAACATTTCCCGCGGCTGTTTAGACATCACCGTCATCTCCAGCGGTCACGGAAATGATATCGTCATCGTCCGCGATCACGGCAAAATCATGAACATTTCCTGCGGCCGAGCAGATATCATCGTCGTCTCCCGCGGTCACGGAAACGTCATCGTTGTCGTCCGCGATCGCGGCAAAATCATGAACATTTCCCGCGGCCGTGTAGACATGATCGTCGTCTCCCGCGGTCACGGAAATGTCATCGTCGTCGTCCGCGATCGTGACAAAATCATGAACATTTCCCGCGGCCGAGCAGAAATCATCGTCGTCTCCAGCGGTCACGGAAACGTCATCGTCGTCTCCCGCGGTCACGGAAACGTCATCGTCGTCTCCCGCGGTCACGGAAACGTCATCGTCATCTCCCGCGGTCACGGAAACGTCATAGTCATCTCCCGCGGTCACGGAAACGTCATCGTCGTCGTCAACTATTGCGTCAAAATCGTGAACATTTCCCGAGGCCTTGTAGACATCATCATTGGCTTTTGCAGTCACTTAAACGCAAGACGACGATCGCGGCAAAATCACGAAAATTCCCGACTTTGAAATCAAATTTAAGACTAAATCCCGACTTTCAAGACCATTTTGAAATTCAAGACTAATTCCCGACTTTCCCGATTTTCCCGACTACTAGACACCCTGTTTATCCTCTTGTAAAAGCTTAGTCCGTAACAAAGCTACACAGATCACCTCACCACATTCTACACTTATCCTGTATTCACTTACATACGTACACAAAGTACATCACCGTCTTAGTTAAATGATTATTTTAGTAAGTTGTACAATGTTGTGTAATACACACCTGAGTGTCCGTGAAGCTCAACACATGTTCCCGCAGCGGCTGGCGCAAGTCAGGTGAAGACTCCAGCACGTCTGCCAACTGCGCCGGTGGCAACTGAAGCAGCACCTGGAAACTCTGTGGCTTTGTGCGTTGGCAACACTTGATGAATCCTTCCCATACCTTCCTCTGTTTCCATACCTGTTGGCCAACAGTAATGTTACATATGCGTTTGCAAATATCTTGTATATTCAAAATAGCAGTTTACGCAATGATTGCATAAAGATAGTGTTAACGACAGTGCCTTAAAAACTACTAGACGAGTGTCGTTAACACTATGCGAGTTGCGTACACTACTTTACCTACAACAGTGTTTTAAATTACTAAAAATCACTACTCATAACTTCTATGAGAGGTTATGTTTTCGTTTATAACCTCTCATTGCCACTGACAATGATGCAACGAAACATTGTACCAAACATTGTACCAAACATTAATTGCACCACTCAACAATTAAATTGGCCTGAACAGCTGATTGGTTGAAGTTTGAATCATTACAATTTTACTATATATAATAAACTATATTACAACAACGTACACCATGAGACTGACCTGTTTAAGTATCAGTCTCTGAAGGACATTCATGACGAAGCCGATGAGTCTCGGATAGAGAGACAAGGCCTGTATGACCGTCCTCATCAACAGTGTGGGCAACGGAGTGATCTCCATCAGCTGTTGTATGACAATGGCCAGGATCTCCTGAGTGTACGCCTGCTTCTCAGCAAAACACAGTGATGTAGCTGCGCAACAAACACATAAAACTCACACAATCAGTACCTGACAACCGGCAGTTCGGATTTCTTGGTAAAACAATAAATGAATGTTTCAAGTTGTACCGGACCATACAGTAGGTATTATTAAAACCCTGCGAGCAACCAATTTAAGGAACTAAAACATTCAGCTTCAATAGTTACAATTTGAATTTATGTATTAAAATTATATGGTAATGTAAATTATGCATATTTAAGAATAATGAACTATATCACACCTTAGATTGGATTTTTACCCTTTTTCCAATAACCAAGAATTTTTCAAACCCAGCACCCTTTCGATCTTAATCTTAGTGTTTGCAACACTTAGGCTATAAAACACCTGACTGACCTTTGATGACAGTCTTGAGTTCACACTTGATCGGGTCAATGACATGCAGTGCCACCAGTAAGTCTGTAGGGCTGATGGGAGACGAATGTTCAGAATGAGATCCAACAAGTCTGTTAAACACCTAGAAAAACAGTAATGTTAGCATGAGCAGCCTTTTATAGTGAAAAATAAACTTTTGTTAATGTTTTAAAAATAACATTCTTTGACATATTCTTATGACAACAGACAATAGACAAATTCTTTATTCCTTTAACAATATACACATATTCTAACAGACATCGTCAAACTTAACTAGCAATAACAAATAACAAGGCAACAAATTATTGATTATCTTAAAATGTTTGGATGTTATAACCAGGCATCATTAAGGAAAAAATGTATTTTGATTGGTCTAGGTTAGGTTGGCCTGAATTAAGGTGATATTACAATCACAAAAACCTCTGAGAACCCAAAAAACTAGAGAAATGTAGGAAGGACTCAATATTCTCCAGGATTACACAAGTCTTGACTACAGACAATAAAAATACTGAGAATGTCAAAGTTATTTTCAAGGACAAGTTTTACTTACTTCTTTGACCACAATGGGATTCAGTTTGATCAACTTTGGAAGAGCTGCGATGATCTCTTGTTTCGGAAGTCCGTTCAACACCGGGATGAGGAACCTCACGTCTGAGACTCTGGACTGATACAACTCCCTCACTCGAGCCACCAACTCTACACTGGGGGGACCTGCAAACCAAACATTAATCACACTGGAATATGCTTAGTTTGAACTTCATTGAACACTTCTTTAAATTCAAATTATTCCTTCGGTCCACCAAACGACTATATAATCAGTGTTGGAATGATGTGGGTGTCAAAAATAATTTTTGAATATTCTAATTTTTTAAATATTTATGTACAGCAATAGAACAAGAGTTTAATAGATCATTAGTGTAAACATATGGGAAATTGGATAAAACTGGTATTGGAACACTGAAAAAGGATTAATATTGCACCCCACGTAACTCTGTCAAGGTAATTGCCTTCTCTTCCCCTACTCACTCACCACCCTACTCACATTGCCAACACTGTTTCACCATTGGCCAGTTGCCACTGGTTGCCTTTCAACCCGCTTTCCACCAGTCAACATTAGTTTTGTACTGATCTATCTACAAGTTGGTTATTAACAGTGAACCTCACATATCATATGATCACTGCTACCATCTTTCAGTTTTGAATTTTGTTGTAAGTTTTGACACTGTTTACTTTGTAAAATCAACAGAGCCAAAAACTTTTTTTAAATATATATTTGCCCCATGGACCCCTGACCCTATCATAACAAACTTGCGGCTGTGGGTTGTTATCGCCACCACTGATTCATAACTTTAAGTCAATTTGTTCTACTGGTCTCTTGGTGTTTGAAGATCCAAATTTTTCTGGGTTACCTTTTCTCCCAACATGACTACAAGGAAAACATATTTTCCTTACAATGTTCCAGTAACAGTTTACATCAAACAATAAACAACACTAACACGTTAATCTATCTCAATACAAACAAATCAAAATCACAAGATCATATAATATAATAGTTGAGTGCATTAGGCCTAGCTTACTTTTGTCAGTGAGGATGTGTATTATCCGGGTGACCAGAGTCTCGGAGCCCTTGGGACATTCCTCCACCAGCTTGAGCAGCTGAGGGGAGTGCATCCCCATCTGTCTCACAGGCTGTTCTACCAGACGCAGGATAGTCCGCTTCACATCAGCACCCGTCTGTACATAGGTGGCTGCCAACCTGCACACATCAGTCACAAGGGTCTGTTCTTGGGTCTACCTGACTTGGTCAGTTGTTTGTCAAGAAATCTCTAAATGCCAAAATTTCTAGAACTATTTAAATATTTTGAGTAGAGAGCTACAAGCCGGTACTGACTCATCTATTCTCCAATTTCAATGCTTTCAATTTCAAGACCATTGTTTGTAACAAATCTTTCAAAGTAAAAACATGCCGATTTAGAATTTCCTACCCCACTTTATCCTGATGGTTATGGCGTGATGGGATAGTGTTAGGGTCTGGATATAGCAGAATATGAATGGATGTGTTATTATGTTTTATTAAAATAATTTATAATACATTCAGTCGTTTTAGGAGCTTGATTGTAAGAAAAACCCCTAATAATGTCCAAAAATATTTAAGTTTGTAGTTTTTAATGAAAATAAAAAATCTGATTGCAAAGGTTTCCTCAAATATCCTTTCATATTCATCACTTTTAAGGCTCCAGATCACAGTCTAAGTGATCATTCTGTAATTTGAATTGGTAACAAACAAAAACTACCACAAAAATTGTAATTTAATTTAAACGAGGCCGACACCAAGTGTGTGTGTGTTAAGGGGAAGATGAGTGTTGATTGGGTGAAATAATAGCTTTGTTACTGGGATCAGCAGGGTCTTAAGCGAGTAGCACAAAACATCAGACTCACTCGTGTATGAGCTCTTGTTTGACAGGCAGCAGAGTCAGGTAGAGGTAGAGACAAGCCCTGATAGCCTCGTCACTCCAGCTGTCCGCTCTCTCCGGCCGACCCTTGTCAGGTCCGAACAGCACATCAGGTGGCTTGGGCAGCCTCAGGAACGTCAGGTAGAACACTGCGTACTCCTCGATGATGGACTGCAGGTCGTTGCGGTTGTACAGTGACACCACGCAGTTGATGGCCATCTCCCTCACCTGCCACAACCAATTACAAACTGTGTATTCATAAAACCTCAAAGTGTTCATGGCTGCTTATTTACTTGATACAGACAGAGTCCAGTTATCTTACCTTACACACACCAGATATTGAAAATGATACTTTTCCCTTCGGTCTACTCTGAAAAAGATCTATTATACAAGGGCTGACCAAAAAGCAACAGAGGTTTCATATTGGTGCCAATGAGGCAGGGCTATACTTATCATAGGACCATTTCTACACTCAGTAAGCATCCAGCTACGTGAATCATACTTTGTCTACAGTGGAGTGTTTAAGTCATATCATTGCAAACTTCACCAGTTGTGAGATAAATTAACATTTTTGTTGATTTTCTACCAATGTAGGTATTTACGGTACGATATAAAACCTCCCCAGTAATAGTGACTAATATCTGATCAAACCTTTCTACTTAACAACAACTTACCTCGGAATTTTCATGAGAAGTATGAGAGAGAAGAGCATTGATGTAGATGAGAAAACGAGGAGGTCGTCGAACCACCTGCAACGTAAATATTACAGGGTCAGTTTTAAACCACCAACAAAAAGCTTCTGACTATTCTCAGGATTGCCCATAAGATGAAATTTCTGATACCAGGATACACTGTACTATATACACTTAACTGCCAAGATTTAATTTGTTTTGAAATTAATTGTGAACCTGCAGGGTAACCACTACGTTAACCCACTTTCAGTACTATACTCATTGCGACTAAAGATTAATCGTAACAGATTACAGAAATTGAATAAAAATACGCCTTATTACACTTGAAACAATTGTAGCAAAAAATTAACAAAATGTTGTCTTTCAGCTGATTTAAATGATTCCGTAGTGTTTATTAAAAAAAATTGTTACGAGACAGCGACACACATTCAGGTGCATATTTTAAGCGAATATGAATACAGGGCAAGTATACAATGCAGTGAGACAACCTGTGTAGCTCTTTGACTCATCTGTTGATTTAGTCAGAACCATTTACTAAGCCCAGTGATCAAGGACAACTACATCCAGTTCCAAAACATCAAAAAGCTACTGACTTCTCTCAGAATAAAACTGGGTCACATCTGATTTCTAAACAATTTAATTGATCTGCCCTGACATGTCACAGACACTACTCACCAGTTCTTGTAGAATAGCCAAGCACACAGTCTCCTTGGTACAGAGCTCTTTGAGTGTTTCAATTGCGTTGTCTGTGATCAGAGGAGCTTCCAGGTACACTCTGTACAGTAGTCTGAAACATGTACCATTCACCTCTACTAGAATGTAGGCTTACATAGTCAAAGTAGACTGCAAACATGTGCAATTGTAAGACTATTTCCTTAAAAAAACTTTGAAAAATGCCAATTGCGAAGAATCACAGATAAAATTTAACTGTGTCATTGAACTGGAAAAGTTAAGTCATAGCTAGCTCCTATAAAATGGATTACTAAAGGTCTCTAATTCATCCCACAGGAAATACATAAAATACTAATTTTTAACTAATAACTATTAAATAATTTTTAAAAAATAACCAAAACCACAAGGAATAAAATATGTGACGTGACAATAAGAAACAATTAGGGTAGTGATCAAACAGATAGTTATAATTTAGAGAAAGGACAACATTTTTTATACCTAGCTAGATTTTAAAATGTTAGAAATCATCTTGTACATTAACAAGAGTTTTCATGAGATATATCAATAACACTTTTCCTATTTTGTAGTTTGTGAAGACACAAAATTTTGTATGTATGTCCATGTCCATTACAATCTTATACTATTTTTTATTATACATTTTGTAAAATAAAATCTACAAAATTTGAAGAAGTAAATTGAAAACTGACGTCTCTCGCTCCTTGATGTCCGGACGGTAGATGATGCTCTGTATCAGGTTACGCAGCAGACTGCTGTAGTTCTTCTCAGCGTTATACCCCTTGTGTTCCAGAGCAGGAGGCAGGCGGTTGAACCCTTGCATGTAGCTGTACTCCTCATACAGCCAGGCTAGAGCCAAGTGTAACCTCTTGCGCAAGTCTTCTGTTATGTACTGCAGAATAGCTGCAGAGAAAAATAAAAATAAGTTTCAATTAATCTGTTTATTTGAGTAATATCGCTATGGGTATATACTGGAGGATATATAGAATCTATTGGTATTTTTTTTTTATGTAAATCTATTTTTTTTTTCAAGCTTACTGCATTTTAAGTGATGGTGATTGGGATTGCAAAGGTGAATATTACCTAGGAAAATAGATGATCATTTTTTTGGGATAGCATACTTTCTGAATTTCCGACCTTTTTTGAGTTATCCGACCTAGGTCCGGTCCCATTATGGTCGGTTAAGAGGGGGTCTACTGTACTAGTTTTGTATGCCAACCCCAGGAATAATAATTATTGACTGGATAGACAAGAACATAAATTGTTTCAGTGTTAATTATTAACACTGAAACAACTTATGTTCTTGTCTATCCAGTCCTGTATCTGCCTGTATCTTATTTGGAAGGTTTAAAATCTGTTAATAAGACTAAAAGAAATCAAAAAAATTTTAATATCAATAACCAATGTTAAACATACTCTGTTTGACGTCGTCGTTGGAAGTGGTTCCCAGAGTGGCTATCATCTTGGTGTACAGAGGGAACACCCCACCCATGATTGCGCTCTTCTCAGTTTGTAATATTCTTCTGACAGCATCCACCGCCATTCTCTGCCTCTTCCTCTGCGGACAAATAACTACAGTTATGATTAAGATATATAATTTTATCACTTACACAGCTCCTGATTTTACCATGATAAGGTTGTCACGGAACTCCTGGACAAAAATTCACGCATTTTTCATAGCTTCAAGGTCATGAATTGGTTGCTAAGTTAACCTTAATACTAGGGGCATGTTTTTGATACCTTCGGTTCGTTTTGTACATACAGTTGGCCTGAGGAATCAGTTTGGGCCAAAAATTATTATCAGGGAGAGCTCAGGACAAGTCGAGCCGAGCATATTTCCACGATCACCAAAACCAAAATGTGCATTTGAAAAATAACGACTTAGTCAGAGGCAGGTGATGTTTAAGTGTTGCAGTACTCCTACAGTGCAATTAACCCTGCATTTTACCAGGGTTCATTTCTATTAGTACATTTTTAACTATTTACAGTAGGCATTTGAATACCAAGCCAATTGCCTACCTCATCCATAGGCCTGGTAATCTCCGAGAGTTTCAGAGCCCTACGCTTTGGATGTTTGATGTTGGACAGGTTAAGGGTGGGCGGTGGAGGGGCGAGAGGGGTAGGTCTCCCCACCACTCCCTGCACAAGTGTGTGAATCTTTTGCTTGTCCTCTTCTTCTTCTTCTTCGTCATCATCACGGAACTGGGGGCAAAACATGTAAATTGAGTTTCTTGGTACAAAATTATCTTACTATATTATGGTTAAGGTTAGTAACTCCGATTACTAACTTATGAAATCAATCAACTGAGATTATGAAAAACTAATTGTGCTAGAATAAGAGTGAGATGTTGGTAATGTTGCAATGATCACAGGAGATGATCTGGTTGATTCTCTTGTACAGTTTTGAAAATCGTAGATTTTAGAAGTGTTTTACTAAATGGAGTAATAATAGTCATAACCTATTTTCAAAGAGGGTTTTACATTGTACTTTAGGAAAAAACTTGGACTTGAGATTAAAAACAAAATTTTTAGGATTTGAATTCATACTCAAGGTTCAAAATTGCTGAATTCTACCATCACTATCAGATATTGTATAATTACTCACGGCTGTGACCGAAGGTCCAGACTTCTTGGCATACTCGGACCCAGGGCCAAGGCCTACTGCGTTGAGTTGTGTGGCTAGCAGTCTGGCCACGTGTTTGATCTGGCCCTGAGTCCCGGCCGCAGCTATGGGAGTGTAGATGGCCGCAAACAGCGGAGGCATTGTGTCTGGCACATTGTCCTGGATACAAAAGCATTGAGCATCAGGGAGAATATTCTCTTGTAGGTTCAAAATATTGATTAACAAGTCTAAATACATTTATGCGAGATAAGTTGCTTGTGGTCAGACCTGGTAAGCAAGGTGTTCTTTATGTAAACACTGAAGACTCCGTGCTCAGAATCATTTCGGTGAATAAATAAATATTACAATTGTTTCTAAAAATAAGCTATCAAGTGGCCACAATGAGGTTCCTTTGTTCATGTTAATCCTTTGGTACATTTAGTTAGAGTAGTTTTTCTCACAATTTAACACTTTCAAAAGTAGTACACTCCTCAACGCTCCGTTATAAATTAATGCAATTGGTGTTTCAGTAGGCCAGGGCTGTAGCGTTGCCACATGTCTTGACGCAGCCTTGTATTAGAGGATGCTATGGTACAGTTCAATCCTATTTGGTTAGAAATAAACTTCTTTTATTTAAAATGTCAGAAAATCAGCCAAGTAGTATTTTTGGCCTCACAAAAAGAAATGTCAGAATTAAACATTTTAGTTAAAAAAAATCTTTGAGGTTACAGGTTTTGAGGTTTATGTCACTATTATGTGACAGAATATTTTTTGCATACAGTATAAACCTCGTTTGTTGTATGGTCTGGCATTCATTGAGGGAAGTCTAATAAAAAATAGATAAAGTTCTTCAACTTCAAAAAAATAGTTCCAAGAATCTACTTAAAAACTACTATCTTGAAAGATACATTTGTTAAACTAGATGTTTTGACTGTTCACGATCAATATATCCTAGTATGTGTAATGTGTGTTAAAATCAACAACAAAATTTGAATATAAGAAGAAAATTTGCATTCATATAACACAAGAAATATTATACAGTATCAGCAATTTGACACATACTTTCTCCCATTAGCTTGATATACACCCTTATCATTGGTAAGCATTGGGGGTAACTATGATATTTATAGGAAAATAACCTAGGTTGCAATTACTTTTGAACCATCATTTGTACAGAAATGGGGGTTGTACCATTTTGTGAGTTACAGGGACTATGACATACTAGATTTTAATCAAAATCAACCTTTTTTAAATTATGTATTTCTATTATTTTATGGGTTTTCATGGAAAAATCATATAATATAAGCTGCAATAAATTTTTAACCAAAGTTTTTACAGTAATGAGATGTTTAACTTTTCTCTCGAGTCAGAAGAAGCAGTATGTTTGAATTGAACTGAACACTCACCATCGCCATGATGACCAAGTCAGTGGCCAGCTCAGGACACATCCTCTCCATGATGTATTGCTCCGTGATGTCTATGGCTGTCTCCGTGACAACAGCTGGCAGAGGGACGGGGGGAGGAGTGCTGCTGGAAGTGTCTGCCACCTGTCAAATAAGCCCTCAAAAGTATCCTGACGAAAGTAAATTTCGGTGCTACAATTGCTATAATTTTTTTAGAGCATTGTTTTGCAATGTGCATCACTAGTGGTACGAAGAGGCCATTATGGTAGTTAAGGATTTAGCTGTCATTTTTGGTTTTCTTATCAAACTATTATTTTGGATGGATTTAGGTTCTCCATCAAATTGTGTATCTCCTCTATACCTCCTTAAAAATTCCACAGACGTTGACAGTAACAAAAATAAATCAATAAAAAATATATTAAGATTAAAGTGTCAAAGATAATTTATAGAAACAAGCTCAATGAATAGCAAAACTTACAGATTTCTTTCTTTGAGATTAACAATGCTTAATGATTGTCATTAGCTATAAAAATTATTAAAGATTTTTTTTTTTTAAATTGAAACGATCAAGACATAGGCTACTGTTACAAATATATATGTAACAACTATATGCAACAGCTATTTCATTTGGCCTACCTTAGTCTTTTTGGCTGCCACTGTCTCCAAAGCACCAGTTGCTGACCTTTTTATTCGTTTCCTGATCTCATCAGATTTTGGGTATGATTTCATCACCTGCAAATGAATGTCTCAATTAACAACTGTAGGCTAAAACAATCCATACTATTGGTTCACAATAGCCTATTTTCTAGTATTAGCGAATTTCCATATAGGGAAAAAGCTATTACCGTAGTACTCATGGTAAGACCTGGACCCGGGACCGATTTAGGCCCCGGGTACGATACGAGCGGCAAGCGGCGAGCGGCATGAGCGGCACCGCTCTGACATCGGGTCTCATTTAGTTGCGTGTTCATTTGTTGAGGGTGGCCACGATACGTCTGAGCGGCGAGCGGCACCGCTCATGGTTCCAAGTCAAAACCGATTTTTGCGAAAACGCCGCTCGCCGCTCAAGTGAGTCATGCTTCAGTTCGGCCTAAAATGACAGTGAAACAGCAGTAAACATGCGATACGGGTCGATACCTGAGGTGCAGTCCAGGGAATGTTTGTGGAATGACCGGCAAGGAAGTTTTAAAACACTTCAGTAACCAGAAAAGTATGGGACCAAGTTAGGGTTAAGGTTTTTCTAAAAACTAAGTTTGTATTTAAAGGCGAATGATAGTCAGATAGCAACAATAGCTTTAATACGTCTTGCAGGTAAGCATAGTTTACCATTTTCTACTAAACTGACTCATAAATCTGGGGAAATTTGACGAGCGTTATAAATTTACCGCTTGTATCGTGGCCACCACCGCCGCTTACGTGCCGCTCAGGTTGCCGCTCGCCGCTTGCCGCTCACCGCTCGCCGCTCGTATCGTACCCGAGGCCTTAAATATTCGTTTTGAGGTCCCTAGAGGCCAAAAACACCATCCGTTCAAATTCATATATATATATATTTATATATGTGTCCGTTAGTGCAATAACTCGAGCAAAAATCATCCGATTTTTATGGTACAAACGTGTAAACCTACGTTTATTCGAACGAGTTCGCGAACTAGCATGATCGGACTATAGGAAGAGGGGTTTATGGGGGGTTTTATGGGGTAAAAATTGGTTTTTCCCATTTTTGACCGTAAAAACATAAAATTTAGAAACTTCTTTCCAAACCATTTTGTAGAGCTTAAAAAACAAATAGTTCAGTATATTGAAGCATTATTATGCGCCTAATGGCAACAGAGAAAATTCAAAAAATTGTAAATTTAAAATTCCCATGTTATTCTTATGGAGAAAATTGTAAACTGTTGTAGTTTGCTTGTTTATGAGCATATTTTGATCAAATTTGGAAAATGCATTCATTTCATACTAAACTATTAAAATTTTACAAAAAAACACTTTTTTGCCACCCTACCTGTTGCAGCAAACCTAAGTACTCGTTAAACTAATGCTATTTAAATAGGGAATAAATGTAATATTTTTAAGGAGACATTTTAGTGTAAATCCAATCAGGCACATGGAAATTCGCTTAGTCTGCAGGTTTGCTGCGGCGGGGTTATTTTTTTTGTAGCACATTTTCTATGGATGAAACAAAGAAATACATATACTGTAGTGAAGTGGCAGTCTGGTATCAAAGCGAACCTGAAAAGAGTATTAGCAAATTTTCTATAAAGGGAATAAGCTATTACTGTAGGATTCATTAAGATCTAGGTGTAGGAATGATTTACTTTTTTGTTTTGATGTCCAGAGGCTAAAAACAACATCCGTTCAAACTCAAATATATGTGTGTCAGTTAGCACGATAACTCGAGTAAAAAATCATCCTATTTCTATATAAATTTTTAAAAAGTGTAAAACTAATTTATTCCAAGGACTCCAGGAACTTCATTGATTTTTTCAGCATCAACCACAATGTCACATGAAATGTTTGGCCAGAAATTTCATACATTAAATACCCATTTTGCAGAAAATAGTAATTTTAACCAAAAAGTCATATTTTTCTTTTCTGTAAAGTGGCATCCCCAGTGGTGGCTGATGTCCGATGCAAGAGCGAAATTCTGATTAAATTTCATCTGACGTCGTGCTAAGAGCGCTGACGAAGTCAAGGAATATTTTTAAGTTCTTAGGCCAGTTAGATATATATGGTTACTAATTGTAGCCGGGGGGTGAGAAGGAAGGAGGGAGACTATTGTTTGCTATTGCGGGTTCGGGGGCGTTATATGTCGGTTATGGGATATTGGCGGGAATTCGTAAAATCGGAGGGAATAACAGGGTAATGCTAATAGGGTTGGAATTGCTATGTCTGGACCAAACTTAACTTAAGCGTGCTGAATCTGCTACCAATAAAATTAGGAAGATTGCTGGGGACCAGAGGGGCGGAGATCTTTACCCAAATCAGAACACCTGCCTAGCCAGCTTTGATTTACACTAACTTAACTAAATATTTATTTAACTGTAGACCTTTCCTTAAAAACTATGGACTGAACATGGATAATTACTTAGAAATATTGCAAGGTTGATGGAATAGTACGTAAAGTGAATACTGAATGTGAAATATGTAAGAATTTGATTGATAACTAATAAGTTACATTCTGAGAACATGTGGCTGCAATTTTCAGGTTTGATAAGGATAGCTGCTGAAGGCAGCCATCTCAGCTAAGAGTTAATGTACCTCATTTCAATAGTCGGGTGAGCCAGAAGGGCTCCCCGCTTGGTTCCTGACTTAGCCAGATATTATTCCTAATTGGGTCCTAAATAATTATGGTAAATAACTTATCAGTAACATGAGAGTCCCGGTCGGCGAATTTCAGCTTCCTTTTCACCTGACGGTTGGTAGAGCAAGGAGGAGACAAGAGTCTAGGGAGGAGGGGATAGCGCGTTAATGCAGTCGCGGCAGGCAACGAGATGGTCATGCAGCCCGGCTTCGCAAAATGCTTACACGATATAAAATATAGCGTGCCGCTATGCGTCACATTTGACTTAGAATTAAAATAGAGATGGGCCGATACCAAAAATTGTCGATACCGATTCCGATACCACCAAAGTACTCTCGATACCGATACTTCCAATACCTATCTTTTTTCCACAGTTTCTTCCACTAATAATACTATAAACTGTTATACCATAAACAAAAAAACACAATATGTATGTGTTGGTGTTAAAGGTTTGTTATTAATTGCAAAAAACAATTGCAAAAATATGGAACTTAAGGGCGGTTCACGAGCTCGGGACTTCATAGTCCGCGACCAGACGTTGGTCCCGGACTATATAAGCGACGACCAAAAAATGGGTTCACGAGTCAGAGCCTAATGATGTGAAAGCCGGGCCCATTGTAGGTCGAGACCAAATCCATAGCGGAGCCTAATGACAGGGATTCGCAGGGAATTTTTGTTGAGACGTTGGTAAAACAGCCTGGAAACACATGTCAAGCCACTGCTGCTGACAAAGGTACTTTCATTCTTCCGTACAATAGGATGATCGTGAAAAAAGGCTGAACCAAAACGTCCAAAAATGTTATTTTTAACATATTTTATTGTCTCAAAGTTCGCCTATAATAATATATCAAAGTTTATTGATTTATAAACACAACAAGCCACATTTGTACGAAATCAGATAATGGAAGTCTTTAGCGAAATCTATTTTTCTGTGTACATTATTGCAATTCAATTAAGATGCATGGCATAAAATAACCGGGTATTTATAACCGGATGAATGCCTATTTTGCATAAATGCCCGATCATTTAGGATGGAGATTTTTGGATAGGCTAATTTTAACTAAACTTATTTAAATTGTACAATTATTGAAACTAAAATGTATTTAGAGGTACTGACTATTTAGATATAAAAATCGTATGTGTGTGCTGGTTGTAATCTAAGAATATTCTTTCCGTTATTCTTACACTCTTTAATAATCTAGCTGTAAAATGTTGAAATAATATCCTGTGGTTCGCTCGTAATATTATTTATGTAAACTACTATGGTTTTTTATTTACATTTTGTGTTTTTGTGATTTTTATATCAGTTTCATAGGTATTACAATGAGTTAATATTTAAGAAAGCATTGTATTTTTTTCTTTCAGCATAGTTTCGAACTGAAAATTTGATTTGTTCTGCTTTCATTACCAAACAAATAGCTACCACCCAAGCTTTACTAACATCCAATAAATCGCCAGTTTCTCGATGAAAAGTGCCATCAGCCAAAAATATTAGTGCAACTAAATTTTTTTCAATTTAGAATACTGTAATGGATTTTGCTGTCGGCAAAATCTTGGAGTTAACGCCTCAAATGGCCCATTGACGGCATCTTTGGACAATCTAAATCTATCTTTAAATTCATCAAGTCATAAAAGGGTTTTAGTCATGATAACGAGCTGGTCCTATGCGAGGTAGTGGAGTGATGGTACATAATTGTTAACATAATACAGTATAGATATTTCATAGTCATATTCAATACACACGCGGTACAACACAAGACGGTGCATCGCGAATCGTACTCAACGACTGACGGTTTGCTTGTTGTTTCCCACGGCAAAAAAACTATTTCTAATTATGTTAGGTAACGGTGGTTTAACTGTGGCTGATTAGTTATATTTATACTCTACGCATAATTGTATCGTTAAAATTGTAATAACATGGGGTTTATCAGTAAAAATATCTTTGTTATGATACTACTTTGTTCCGTGCATAATTTATCTGTCGTTTTATGTAGTTTGATGATTGTTTTAATGTTTTATGAGCCTTTTTACCATTTTTACATATTTTTTTAATATGGCGTTGTGGGTAATGATTTTGTTCGGAATTTCATGAGGAACCAGATTTAAACATCAGTTTTTAAAAATTAATAAAAATAAAGGAGCTAATTAGATAAAACCCGCATGATGTCACCTTAAACCTGCCTCCTACCAGGTCTGAGTTGGAGACCAAACACCATTGTTCTTTTGGGCCCGAACTATCTCATCTGGGCTCGGACTTGACTCGTGAACCCACCGGGACTAATGATCAGAGCCGGGACTATCTGTAATTGGACTCGTGAACCCAACTTTTAAAACCGGGTTTTATCCCTGCACTAATTGTGTGCCGCCTATCAGTTTGGTCCGCGGCTTATATAGTCTCGAGCTCGTGAACCTGATTTTTCAAGTCGCGGCC